ACATAAAAGTGAGTGATGACATGGAGGATGATTAGAGATAGACTTTTTTAGATTGAGTGCTCAGGGAAGTCTTCTTTGAGGAGGTGATATTTGCACAGATGCCTGAGGGAGAAGAAGGTCAGAGTTAGGGGAAGGTCTCTGGGGAACAGGGTAGGAGGAAATTGACATAATCAGTGTAGTTTTAGGCAAAGAGAAGGAGCACAGAAGCCCTGGGACGGTTATACCTGCCCACGGTTTTCCCTTTTAAACATCTGCTTCATGGCACAGGGGAGTGTTCAGATAAGGGAAAGTCCGAAGTGGCTGGAGCAGAGTAAATAAGAGGAAGAGCAGTAAAAAGAAGGTCTAAAATGTATGGGACAGCAGGTCATGTCGTACTTTATATATCATGTTATGTGGGTGCCTCTTCCCAGCTCTGGTGCACTGCCCCATGCTTCTGAGTGGGATCCGCTGTAACTGAGATATCCCTCCGGAACCTCAGTTGCTGCCTGTGGGAGCGGGGCCAGCCCTTTTTACATCTCTGCTCTTCTTATCATTCTCTGTGTGGCTTCTTCTGTAAATCCTTGCTTGGAAGACTTCTCCTCAGCTAGTCTTCAGTTGGTTATTCAGGATGATTGTTCTGTAATTTAGTTGTAATTCCAGTTTCGTCCTGGGTGGGGGTGACTGTAACTTACACCTACTCTGCTGCTCTCTCAGATCTCCTAATACTTGTAATTTTGACTTAGTAACTTTGAGATTTCCATTAGGATGGCAAGTAACAGTTGGATATACAAGTGTAAATCTCATGGGAGATGAACTCCCGGGTATCATATGTTATACATGTTATTTAAAGCCTTGAAAGTAGGTAAGATCACCAAAGTAGGCAATCTAGATGAGAAAAGAGAAAAGCACTAAAACAACTTTAGGTCTCTGGAACTCATATTCCTATAAGTACCAAAGAGAGTATTTGAATTTTAAACCAGCGTAAGCCCATCAATGGTTCTCAGACCATGCTTATATGCCCATGATTCTAAATTACTTTTTCTCCTTCAGCAATTCTTCAACTCTTTGCAAAATTGCTACTTTAGAGTGCAGTACGTGCTTTGAAGGAGGGAAAATAGATCTGCAATAAAAGGGGTGGGGGTTTGCTTTTGACATTTGGGTTTGTCTTTCCTTTATAGTTTTAAATATCAGCGTCAGCATTGACAGATTCTTGACTTAAGAGGATAAAGAAAGAAGTAGCTGTTGCAGGTGGTGCCTGGTTATTGTCCCCTCACTGAACAAGAGTGCTTTGAGGGATGTGAGAGCTCTACACACAGCATCTAGGAGCAGGGAGTTGGGGTTGGCCTTCGTCACCTGGGCACATGGACATCCCCTCATCCCAGACAGAGTCGCGTAATCGTTGTCAGTCTGGGCAAGGACAGTCCTATTCTGCAGATCAAAGTCTATGTGGCAATGTGGTTGCAGTTCAGAAGGGTTTGCATGAAGAGAAACTTCACCCAGGGTATGTAGAACAGCTATACTCAGAGTGGGCGTGGGGGATCATTTATTCATTGGACTGGCATCATTTGGGATGGTTGTTTGGTAGGAGTAGCCTCAGTGAGAGGCATATATCCAAAGCAGACTGTTTCCCTTGGGGAGGTGCTGCTTCCAGTGGAGGACCTCCCCACTCAGTCCAGTAAACAAGGGCAGTGTCTGTCCTCTGATTGGCCACTTGTACCCTGTACCCCAGTCCTGGTCATCCAGCTGTGCATCCCTGCATCGGAGTCCCTTTGCCCTTTTGACCATCTTTTCACATGGGACCCCTTTAAGGTAGCCCTGGGCTGGTTTTATTGTCTAGGGTACACGTTGGATCTCCAGGAACTGTGCACCTTGGTCCCACTGGGGGTGGAAGTGCAGCTTGTCCTGAGGGATAAAGCTTTATCCTGAAGAATTGTTAAAGGGTTGATTATAAGCATGGAGGTAACGTGATTCAGTTCACTTGTAGGAAGAGTGCTGGCAACAGGCATGGCTGGACGAGGACATGTGAGGCTGGAGACAGGGAGAGCAGCTAATCACTATTGCACAGTCCTGGCAAGAGTTAATGAGGGTCATTGACAGTGGTGAGGAGGAGATGGATGCAAAAAATATTAACAGTGTAGATGTGAAAGATTTAATGACTAAGTGGCTGAGGAAGAGTGAGACACCTACTGGGTGCCTTTTTGTTTTACTTCATAGGTTTCTAATCAACTTAATCTTACAACATGGAGATGGTAGCATAAGAAAATGGACAGGTGAGAGTAGTGTTTGTAATCAAGGTCATCTTTGGACACATTTTTATTTTGAGGTTTATCAGCTTTGCTTCCCTCTTCTCAATTCGTAAACAATTTTCAAGGGATTGAATTCTGTAAGGAAGATTTTGGTTATCATCTATCTTATCCTTTCCTTTTACAAGGATTCACCTTATACGTTTGCTTTTAAGTACTTGCGGTGTGTACAGCATAAAGGAAGCACATAAATACCATTTAAATTCTTTAGGCTAATTTGAGCTTTCTCTTGAAATAAACAGATTGTCTGCCAGACCTTACTCTTGTTTGTGCTGAAGTTTGTCCCGCACAGTCCTGGCGGTTCCCATTTCCAATCCCACAGTGTGATGTTTATTTTAGGCAGCTGCTTATGGAAGGTAGAATGTAGCAACGATCAGAAGGACATAAGGTGGGCTTCTGTTTGAGTTCAGGGTTGCCGGGTAACTCTCCTTTGAATACCTTCCATTTCCTGCTTTTCCATGTATGTTTTGGCCGTGAGGATAAATCTGGGAAAACTGCTATTTGGCCTTTTAGCACAGTGCCAGCTTTGTGATTGCAAACGAACCGGTGTTGTGCTAAACACCCTGAAATAAAATAAATGAGTCTGATGGAAGCTTGGAGCTCGTGCTAGAAATGTAAAAACCCAGCAGATGCCATTTGCTGAAACCCAGGCTCCTCCAGCAGATGGGTAACGGTTAAACATAAATGGCACCATTTCTCTCTTTTTTTTTTTGGTTCATTTGTTTTTAATACAGTATTAAAAATCCTGCTAAAATAAACTTCTGACATATGTTTCATGACTGTTTGGGGTATCCAAAGATCTTTGAAATTACAGTTAGACTATGTTTTATTATATGAATTCATTGAACACGCAGAAACACATTTTTGTCCGAGCTTTAAAACTTTCTTTGGTATAAATACTTCCAATATTGGAAATAATAATGGGAAATAATCACCAAGTAGTCATTATGAGATATAATGTCCCTCTTTTACATCTTTAATGTTGGGCTATAATAAAATAATATAAACCATATCTTCCATAGTTCTCATTCACTTAGTGCTTTACAATATTTTAGTTTCTCACATACTGTCTCATCATTTAAATAACACACACACACACACACACACACACACACACACACACGAGGGTGTTTTCACGGCATGGATGGAACTGGAGAGCATTATGCTCAAAAATTTAATGACGTAGCCAGGTCGGTGTTGCTCAGTGGTTGAGTGTCGACTTATGAACCAGGAGGCTACAGTCTGATTCCTGGTCAGGGCACATGCCAGGGTTACGGGCTCGATCCCCAGTGTGGGGCGTGTGGGAGGCAGCCCATCAATGATTCTCTTTCATCATTGATGTTTCTGTCTCTCCTTCTCCCTCTCTCTTCCTCTCTTTGAAATCAATAAAAACATTTTTAAAAAATGAAATGACTTACGTACATTTAATGCAATCACTATTAATTGATATTAACTCGCAAGAACTATGGTGCATTATCAATCATTCTATAATATTGAGATATTTTTGGCATAGAAAATATGTGCTTATTTTATAATTTAGAAGTTTGTGTATCTCTAAATAAATCTACAGTTTCCCTTGTTTGCCTTTTTTCTGTTTCCTAAAATTATTTATCAAGTAATATTCAACAGAGCAGTTCACAAGAAACTCCAGCAAAGTTAGAAGAACGAGGAAACAATCGGTTAAATATCTAAATGGCTAAAAAAGTGTCTGAAATATTTATCGGAAAGGATACTATGTCATTACAAGGTTTTTTAACTTTGAAACTTATTGCTATTCACAGGTTCAGGTTCATGTCGCTTTAGCTATTCAGACCCCGACATCATTGTGTCATATGCCAAGAATAATACTGCGGACTGGATTCAGCTCGAGACCATTAGGTTTGTTGTCATTGAAAGTATTTCCGTAAATTCTGACGTAGGTGTATTTCTTCTTTCCTGTTTGCCTTCATTCTACCACTGACTTTATTCCTCATGGTTAAAGGTGCTCTGTTAATTATGCTGAATTGCGTGGACACACATATCATGATCTGCCCTATTGGAAGAAGTATTACTAAGAGGGTCATTTTCCACTTGGAACTTCCCACTGTCGGTAGTAGCTCTAACAAATTATTTTTTGGTAAAAGCACAGAATCCTCCACAAAATTGCATCACCCATTTCTCCAGGTGGCCTGACTGTGGCCTGGCTTATAGGCCTAGGAACATATCAGATTACCACCTAAATCTGGTCCTTTGTCTGTAATGACAGTGAGTGAACAGCTGCCCAACCTTTTGCATCTAATCTCTTGTTCTGTCATTTTCCTTCTAGCTTTCCTAAGGCCAGTTCTAAAATTATATGATCATAGTTATGATGCAACTTGTAATCATTTATTGCATTTTCTTTATTTAAAAACCTTGATAAGAAAATGAGGTAGGGTACTTGAGGGAGAAGTTCATTCAAGTTGAAAATATTTGGTTAAATTAGCAAGAGTCAAATTATGTTTACTCCTGCGTAGGTTAAACCATAAAACAGAATTCATCATGGAGGTTTAATTTCAAGTATGGTAACCTGTTAAAAGGAAAAAGATACCTGGACATTTTATAAGGTTGTTATTCTGATTGGTTTACTTCTTAAATTAGAATAACTCAAGTAGAACATTATCTGTAAGTTTTGTAGTTTTCTTTTTTCACATGCTATTTTCCTTACCATATTTCCATGTTGAAAAATAGTGATTTGTTTAGAGGGGGGAATAAATATTAGATTCTTAGTCTTTAACACTAAACTAGTCTATCCAGAGTTTCTAGTAGTATTTCAAAATTTTAAAAATTTTACATTCCTAAGTGTTAGTCTAACCAAAAACTGAGAAAAATGATTCTAATTCATGGATTTTAATAGACCATCCTCCTCTGTGCCAGGATAACCTATAATTTAGAGATACCTGTTTAAGCCAAACTCTGGCATGCTATGCCAATTTTAAACAGAACATTTCGTTATTCTTTCTAACTTCTAGTACTTATTATGAAAATCATGCACATGAAATATTTATATAAATGTCTTTAATCAAGGCAGCATAAATATTGTAAATTTTAACCACACCTCCACCTTTACTCTATGTAATACTCATATGTCATAATTTAGGTAAACTGTAGCAGGTTTTTCTTGCTGGAAAACAACTGTATACCTTTGATAGTGAATGCACATACACATTTAATTACAACACACAAAGATCACATTCAGCTAATTCCATTTGGCTTTTAACTAAATGAGACTTTCAATTTAAGGTCATGCATCAAACTGTTATATACATTAGTGCAGATTTTCCTTCCCATTTGGCGACCAGAATGAACGTATTTTCAATCACTTCTTAAATCTAAATATATTATTTTCATCATTTTAAATTCTTTATGAAGCCCAAAACATGGTCATCATGAAATATTTTAAAAGAAAGGGGAATTGATTACCCCTAAAGGTAAAGTACACCATCTATAATCTATACTGACAATTTTACAGACATGTATGTGCTGCTTTGGTGAGTGAAAAATATGTCTTTTCCGTAGTCCTTTTAAAACTGATTGTTTGCATTTACTAACACTTAATTTTTGCTAAAGCAGTAATCTTTACTGTAGCAGATTTCTACATTGGTAGAATAAAATGTTGAATAAAAATACTTTACTAAATAGCAGAAGGGCCTAGATTGTAATACATGTAATATAAAAATAATTTTAACTTGTAACAAGTTTTTAAAGATCAATCTGCATGAAATTTTAAAGGATTATAGAGCATTTAATTCTCATGGTAAATCTCATATTTCATGTAAATAAAACAAAAACGTATCAGATTAGTAGAAATAAAATATCTATTATGTAAAGACTGATTATAAAATACAGCATGCAATTGTCTAATACATGCAAAATTTCAAAGTAAGAATCAAAATTAAGTTATAGTTTTTCTCCTTTTTTCTTCTTAGTAGCAAATAAACTGTGCTGGATACACTGTGATTTTCTAGAGGCGCCATGAAAGTGTGTGCTATTGTCTCTTCAGTGACTCCTTTACTAGCTTAGTGCCTCTCCTGTGTTAAAAGTAAACTTCTTAAAGACATTTAATATTTAAACCGTCATCACTTACTATGAACTCCTTAATATTCAGCATACACTAAAAGATTTAAGGGCTATAGGATTATGAGTATTTAATCTGTACTGTATATAGTATTTTTAAGATAATGAAAATATAATCTTAATTAAGAAACAAAGTTGATTTAAGTGCTTTCACCGTGGCACTAATTCCCATCTCACCATATGTTCCAGAGCCCCTTCCAATGTCAGCACAATCATCCACATCCTCTACCTTCCTGAACACGCCAAAGGGGAGAACGTCCAGTTTCAGTGGAAGCAGGAAAATCTTCGTGTGGGTGAAGTGTATGAAGCCTGCTGGGCCTTGGATAACATCCTGGTCATCAACTCGGCTCACAGACAAGTCATTTTAGAAGATAGTCTCGATCCTGTAGACACGGGCAACTGGCTTTTCTTCCCAGGAGCTACAGTTAAGGTTTGATCGCTCTTTTGTTCCTTCTCCCCTTCTCCAAAACCTAAAGCTCAATAAGCCAATTTGCACAAAGGTAACTATTCTTTCCAAACCTACTAGTAAAGCAGTGGTTCTCAACCTTCCTAATGTCGCGACCCTTTAATACAGTTCCTCATGTTGTGGTGACCCCCAACCATAAAATTATTTTTGTTGCCACTTCATAACTGTAATTTTGCTACTGTTATGTATCGTCATGTAAATATCTGATATGCAGGATGTATTTTCATTGTTACAAATTGAACATAATTAAAGCATAGTGATTAATCACAAAAACAATATGTGATTATATATGTGTTTTCCAATGGTCTTAAGTGACCCCTATGAATGGATCATTCGACCCCCAAAGGGGTCGCGACCCACAGGTTGAGAACCGCTGTAGTAAAGGAATAGGCAATGTTGTTTTTATGTTACCTCCTCTTCTAAGGATAGAAAATCTTTGTTACCAAAACATTTGTACATCTATTTAATAAGGTTTCTTTTAAATATATTTTTATTGATTTCAGAGAGGAAGGGAGAGGGAGAGAGAGATAGAAATATCAATGATGAGAGAGAATCATTGATCAGCTGCCTCCTACACACTCCACACTGGGGATTGAGCCTGCAACCTGGGCATGTGCCCTGACCAGGAATTGAACCATGACCTCCTGGCTCATAGGTTGGCACTCAACCACTGAGCCTGCCACTGGGCATTTAACAAGTGTTTTTGAGGACCCACTGTGCCATGTACTGGACTGAACCTAGAGAGTAAAAACACAAAAAGGCAGGTATGTTTCTTCCCTCCAGGTGGCTGTCAACTTAGTATGGGTAATTAGATATGTCAACATGCAAATACAAAATAGCATCCTATCTAATAAAGAGATAATATGCAAATTGACCATCACTCCAACACACAAGATGGCCGCCCCCATGTGGTCAAAGATGGCCTGCAGGGGAGGGCAGTTGGGAGGGACCAGGTCTGCAGGGGAGGGCAGCTGGGGGGACCCAGACCTGCAGGGATAGGCAGTTGGGGGTGACCAGGCCTGCAGGGGAGGGCAATTAGGGGCAATTGGGCCGGCAGAAGAGCAGTTAGGTGTTGATCAGGCTGGCAGGCAGAAGTGGTTAGGGCAGTGGTCAGCAAACTGCAGCTCGTGAGCCACATGCAGCTCTTTGTCCCCTTAAGTGTGGCTCTTCCACAAAATACCGACTTTTCCACATGGGCCATGAAGTTTCAATCGCACTGTATGTGCATGCCCGAATATGGTATTTTGTGGAAGAGCCACACTCAAGGGGCAAAGAGCCGCATGTGGCTCGCCAGCTGTAGTTTGCCGACCACTGGGTTAGGGGCAATCAGACAGGCAGGCAGACGAGTGCTTGGGAGCCAGCAGTTCTGGATTGAGAGAGGGATGTCCAACTGCCCGTTAAATGGACATCCCTCAAGGGGTCCCAGATTGGAGAGGGTGCAGGCTGGGCTGAGGAACACATCACCTCCACCCCCTCATGCACGAATTTTGTGCACTGGGCCTCTAGTAATTGCTATAATTTGCTAGGAAACTGTGGAGTGCTGTGGAAATACCGCATACAGTACCAAATCCAGACTTGAGGGTTTAGGAAGGTGATCCAGAAGAAGTGGAATCCAAGCAGAGACTGAAGAGTAATTTGGAGTTGGCCAGGTGGGAGGACTATTGTTTCTAGAATCAGAAATGACATACAGTGAGAGCACGAAACAAAGGTCTTGGATAATGTACAAAATAGTTTTCTAACAGATTCTTAAGGTGAGATTTGTGATAGTTACATCTGGAGACAAGGCCAGTGACAAAACCTTGAAGGTTTTCTAAACTCCTATAGAGTTTGAACTTTATTGTGAAAGTAATAGGGAGTCACCAAGTGTTCCAATTGAGTCACACAATCATATTTGATTTTGAACTACCCCCTGGAGAATGGAGGATGGAATGGAGGGGAGAGAAGGTGTGCAGGGACACCAAGTAGGAGGCTGATAACAGCAGTCCAATGGGAGATCATGTTGGCCAGAATTCGCAAACAGGATGGGAAAATGTGGACAGATTTCAGAGATTTTTAGGAAAGGGAATGGAGAAGGTTGGAGACTTATTGAGAAGATGAGGGAATAGTAGGTGTCAAGGACAGATAGAATGCTCTTTGTCTAATATGAGCTACTTTTTTTCAATATTATTTTTTATTAATTTCAGGTGAGCAGCATAGTGTTTAGACAATTATGTACTTTGCAAATTAATCCCTTGATATTTCAAGTACTCATGTGGCACCATACATAGTTATTACAATATTATTGATTATATTTCCTACTAGAGGCCTGGTGCACAAAATTCATGCACTCGGGGGTCCCTCAGCCCAGCCTGCACCCTCTCGCAGTTCAGGAGCCCTCAGGGGACATCAGGGAATGGGCCTAAGCCGTTAGTTGGACATCCTTAGCACAGCCGCAGAGGTGGGAGAGGCTCCTGCCACCGCCGCAGAACTCACCAGCATGAGCCCGGCTTCTGGCTAAGTGGTGCTCCCCCCGATGGGATTGCACTGACCACCAGGGGGCAGCTCCTGCTTGAGCGGAGCATTTGCCCCCTGGTGGTCAGTGCATGTCATAGCAACCAGTCATTCTACTGTTCGATTTGCATATTAGCCTTTTATTATATAGGATGCTCTATTTTATATTCCCTCAACTATTTTGTAACTACCAATTTGTACTTCTTAATCCCTTCAACTTTTCCACCCAGCCTCCTAATCCCTCTCCCTTCTGGCAACTATCATTCTACTATTTTATTTATTTATTTATTATTTTATTTATTTAATTTTTTTGTTAATCCGAGGATATTTTTCCATTGATTTTTAGAGAAAGTGGAAGAGAGAGGGACAGAGAGAAACACTGATGTGAGAGAAACACATCAATTGGTTGCCTCCTGCACTAGCCCTGACCAGGGCCTGGGCCGGGCAGGAGCCTGCAACCGAGGTACATACCCTTAACTGGAATCAAACCCAGAACCCTTCAGTCCTCAGGCCGACATTCTATCCACTGAGCTAACCAGCTAGGGCTCAGTCTGCTATTTTAGTCATGTAATTATATACTGAACTCTTCCCAAACACCCTCAAATTAATTACCCAGAACCTATGGTGGTACCCTCTCTGCTTTCTCATTCCCAACTTCTGTTTGTCTGATAAAAAAGAGTTACTTCTGCCCATCCTGCAGGGCTCAGTGATTGAACATTGGCCTGTGAACCAGGAGGTCACGATTGAATTCCCAGTCAGGGCACATGCCCGGGCTGTGGGCTCGATCTCCAGTGTGGGGCATGCAAGAGGCAGCTGATCAATGATTCTCTCTCATCATTGATATTTCTATCTTTCACCCTCCCTTCCTCCCTGAAATCAATAAAAATATATAATTTTTTTTAAAAAAAGGTCTACTTTTTATCAAGTACTTACTGTTCTAGGTACTTACTCTTTGAGGCATGTGTAGACACACACACATACACACAGAATTATATATATCATCTCATATAATTTGATCCTTATAAACATATAAGGAAGGTGCTGTCTTAACCCCATTTTACAGATGTTGAAATGGACATAAAGATGTTGAGTAACTTGTTCAAAATATATCTCTCACCAGTGGCAGAACCAGGATTCAAATACGGGAATCTGACGTAACCTTGATCTGTCACCATTGACTTTGCTCTTATAAGTAATAAATATAAACTGGTGTGCTTCTGTTTTTCCTGTTTCTTCTCAACATTCATTTGTTAAATTTTCTGCTCATTTTCTTCCCCATCACTTTCTGGCTCTCGGTGAAAAGATTCTTGCTTTTCTCATATTTATTTATCTTGCTTCAGCTTTATTCTATTAACACTGCATGTTCCTTCCTCCAGATGACTGATTTTCAGACATTAGAATTTAGTAAGTTCAGACCAAACACTGGTCTCTTCCTTCTTTTCCGTAGCTGGTTTTGTTTTCACAATCCTAGTTCTGGGTCCATCTCAAGTACTGACTTCTGACGTAAGGTGAACTTAAGGAGATGGGACTATTAAAATATTTCCCTTAGGGAGGCAGGAGGCATTTTCAGTAGCCTGCCTGGGAGATGAAGTAGAGTGAGAATGGTGGAACACCGAAGAAAGAAATCAGCAGTCTAATGGTAGGAGACTGTCTCTGACAAGGATGATAAAAGCCAAGGATCATACAAGGAATTCCACTGACAAAAACTACAGCATCATTCCTTAATGTGGCATCATGCTCCCTCCATACTCAAGACGTGTGTAAGCCTAGAAGATACAAACCCAACTCCCTGGCATGTAATTCAAGACCCTTTCCTAGGCCCAACCTAACTTTTTATCCTCATCTGACACACTGACTACCAGCCTCACAAATACAGCATAGAACTGCACACCCTCACCCGTTTATTCATGCTTTCCCACCTTTCTCTTTTCTCTTCCTGGAAATTGCACAGCTTCCGCAAGGGCCCAGCTCAAATATCTGTCCATGTGAAGTTTTGTATAGTTGATGTCTCCCTCCTCTCTGTGCTGGTATAATCATTAGGCTGAACAAAGAACACGGGGTGGGGCCAGGCTATAGAAAACAGATCCATTCTTTTTCCCAAGTGACCATTCAAAGTCATCTCTGCCTTCTTTGCATGAAAACTAAAGCAGGTCCTGAGACAGCTGATAGACCAACACACATCATCCAATCACGTTAGTCTCCTACATTATTGGTTTAAAAACAAATAGGACCAGTTTACTGTAGGAATCCAAACCTCAAGTTTCATTCATAGTTCCTCCCTCCTCCAGCCTAGGTCTACTGCAGTGGGTGGAGATGGAGGCAGTGGTCATGTCCTTCTCTTTCCTCACCACCCACCACAAGTTTCAGCCTCTGAGCCCTCCAGGGCTGGGTCTGATGGAAGGAAAAAAGAGGAGATGCAGCTATTGTTGTAAGCGAAAGAATTAATCCCTCATCCTGATAAATGATCAAAGCTG